ACTCCACGGGCGCGCGGCACCGCGTTCCGAGTGCACCCGGGCGGAATGACAAGTCGACGTCCAAGAACAACCGAGATTATCCGGCGATACCCCGCTCGCACAACGACACCGACTGGGGCCTGCACCAGTACACTCGTACAGCGGAGGCGTCCATTGACTTTAGCTGTGGGAACGCCACGCTCTCCAGATGAAAGCCACCGAAATCCATGAATCCCAGGGCAACCTGGAGGCAAGCAAGGTGTTTCTTGGCATGGGTCTCCACTGTGCAGAGCAAAACTTGACCTGAGCAATGCTTCCCGGCTTCGTGTTGTGCTCGTCGTCCTTCTTGCTGACTTCTTCCCGCCCCGTCTGCAAAACGGAAACGGAACGACAACGGCCCACGAAATCGCCCAACCTCCGTTGAGCTGGCGTCCTGGTGTAGATCGCGTTTCTGACTAGCTGAGACTTATGTGAGAGCTAGCATCAAGAAGCACTTGGGAACCTTTCACCGTTATCTTAGCACCGCACAACAAAAAACTCAAAGGCGATTTTAGCTGAATAGTCGCTTTGGCTGCGCGCCGAACACAAAAAACATGCTTGTTTTCAAAAATTAGTCTTTGCCTTCGCGCCGCGCACATTCGCTATAAACGAGCTTGAAGGATTGAGGGCGGCTCGGTTTCAAAATGTAACTCTCGCCTTAGTGCCACACGCATTTGTATTTAAACATGTGCACGCATTTCACAGCTTGAAGGCGGCTCTTTGTTTCAAGATCTAGCTCTCGCCTCAGTGCCGCGCACGTTCGCCATAACAAATTGCTCGAGCTTCACGGATTGAGGGCGGCTCAATTTCATTATATAGCTCTCGCCATAGCGCCGCGCGCATTCGTTATTTTTTGTTTTTCTCAGATATATACATTTAGATATAGAAGCGCGCTTTCCACGTATTGAAGGCGGCTAATTCTCAAAATGTAGTTCCCGCCTCAGCGCCGCACAATTCACACGAGTTTCACGGATCGCGAGCGGCTCGGTTTCAATATGTAGCTCCCGGCTTAGCGCCGCGCGCATTCGCATTAAAAACAAATTCACGAACTTCACGGCTTGAAGGCGGCTCTTTTTTCAAATCTAGCTCTCGCCTCACCGCCGCGCGCATTCGCTATGCACATGCTCACGAGTTTCACGGCTTGCGGGCGGCTCGGTTTCAAAATATAGCTCTCGCGTGAGCACCGCGCAATCGCTTTTCAGAGCGTGCGCAAGTTTTACTGGTTGAAGGCGGCTCGTTTTCAAATTCTACGTCTCGCCTCAGCGCCGCGCACATTCGTTAATACACATTTACACTAGCTTCACTGATTGCGGCTCGGTTTTCTAACTAGCTCTCGCCTTAGCGCCGCCCACATTGGTTTTTGGAAATGCGCACGGGTTTCACGGATTGAAGGCGGCTCGTTTTTCTTTCTTGTTTTTATCGCGCTCTCGCCTTAGCGCCGCGCGCATATGCTATGCAAATTTGCACGATTTTCGCGGATTGAGGGCGGCTCGTTTCCAAAACATAGCTCTCGTAGTAGCGCCGCGCGCACGGTTGTATATACATCTATATAAGCCCATCTATATATGTGTGTATGCGCACATATATAAACATATAGATGCACGAATTCCACGGAATGAAGACGGCCCGTTCTTTAAACCCCGTTCTCGCATCAGCGCCGCGTGTACGCGTTTTAGCGCAACGCCCTATACGCATCCTATCGTAATGCAAAACGAAAAATTGATTGCCGTCAGCTGTCATGGGGGGTGGGTGGCACATCCGAGGGTATCGCCCCCGGCCCGCACGGAAGGTTAGCTTAGCACCGAAGAGCGGCGAACCAATATTTCCCGCCCGCTAATCATCGTATGAGCGGTAACCGCGAGAACTGTACGGCTACGAAATCTTAATTCATACGAGTAATACTTGGCACGAAGAACACCCCTGCAGACATGAGGCTCTAGCAGCCTGGAGAGCAGCGCGTGTGGCCATGGCTGCTCCAAGTTAAAAAGCTAGACAAGGGGAGTAATAGGTCGTAATGCTTGATTGTAGTAGTAGTAGTAGTAGTAGTAGTAGTAGTAGTAGTAGTAGTAGTAGTAGACGTCGTAATAGTAGTACTAGTAGTGGTAGTAGTAGTAGTAGTAGTAGTAGTAGTAGCAGGAGTAGTAGGACTAGTAGTAGGACTAGTAGTAGTAGGAGTAGTAGTAGTAGTAGTCGTCGTCGTCGTAGTAGTAGTAGTAGCGGTAGTAGTAGTAGTAGTAGTAGTAGTAGTAGTAGTAGTAGTAGTAGTAGTAGTAGTAGTGGTAATACTAGTAGTAGTCGTAATAGTAGTAGTAGTAGTTGTAGTACTAGTTGTAGTAGTAGTAGTAGTAGTAGTAGTAGTAGTAGTAGTAGTAGTAGTAGTATTTGTCGTAGTCGTAGTAGTAGTAGTAATAATAATAATCGTAGCAGTAGTAGTAGTAGTAGCAGTAGTGGTAGTAGTAGTAGTAGTAGTAGTAGTAGTAGT